AAATCTTACCCCTATTCTGGACATCACCAAAGACAGCAGAGTCTAGTTTCTAAGGATGGAGTTCAAAATAAACAGTCAGTGATTCAGCAGAGAAAGACATGCATGCTGTCCCTCGTGGGTGGGGAGGGGGGTGATCTGAAACAGTTATTACAGGGCACAGGCATCTGGAGACCAGAACTTCCAAGACAGAGGGAAGAGCAGGCCAGCTTGCAGGGGACCAGCACAGCTCCTTCTCAGAGGGAGACACGGAGCGTGGAGGGGGCGTGACACGTGGGAATGGGGCTCCCTTGGACAGGCCGGCCGAGCACTCGCTGTGGAGTCACACTGTTCATTTAGACACTGTTCATATCAGCACACCTGGATCGGCTTCTAGAACTTCACCAGGTAATAAGAGGACAAGAGGAGGGGGAAGAAACAAAGGACTCTTTGGAAGCAGGAAATAAATGTCTGCAGCCACGGTTATCTCCCGACCAAGGACAGAAAGAGCAGACCACAGACAGGGTGGGGTTGTGAAGATCAGAGACCACTACGATGGACATTGAGCAAGAGCGGGTGCTGCTGAGAATAGGGGAGGGAAATTAAAATCCACACCCCTGCCCACCTGAGCTGCAAACACAACCCCTTTCCTTGGCACCTTCATCGTGCACCCTGGACGGAAAATGTTCAACAGTCAAATGCAGAAGTAGACTGAAATATGGGCCCCCTGCTTCTGTTTCTAGTTCCTCCATATTTTATAATTTATTTGGGGGCAAAAATGCTTTTAATGATGCCAATGTGCCTCGTTTCTGCACCTGAAGGAAAAGAGAATAGCTGGCCACGGCTGTCTCCAGGATGGGGATTATTTTGTTGCTGTGCAATTTGGCTCCTGCTCTAAAGTGAAGCACGCATTCTCCCTCCTGTGTATTTTGAGTTGGAGACTTTAAGTAAATGGGAAGTGGCTGATTTTACTTCTGAATGCAGCCAGCCTTTGCTGGCACAAGCACGGACATGGCCCAATCAATTCTGCATTCATGCTGAGAAGCGATTTGCTCAAGTTCGAGGAACGTCTGGGTGCATTTATCTGGACTGGGTGCACACACCAGAGCCAGGCCTTTGACAGCGTCCCGTCCCTCCAGGGATGGCTGCAAGAGTCCCGGATGAGGACCTTTGCGGCCCGGCTAGTTCCTTCCATCCTTAAGTTACAGCAGTGGGTCTTTAACACTCCGCCGTCTTTGTAATTTATAGGTTTGTTTTTAGGAGTCTAGCTCTGGTAAATTTGAGAGTTTATTAAGTAAATCTTCATTAGCTGGTTAAATGGCCTCCAAAAAGTTACCCAACCGAGTGTACAAGCGTCAGGATCTGAACCCATCTATTGACCCACGTTTGCACAGTGGCCCCCGTCTCGGTCTTTCTCCTCCTGAGTATTTCCCTTCTCTTCTCTGTCATAAATTCTGTGTCAGTAGCTCCACGGCTCAAAGAGGGTCGTAAACATCTTCTTGTTCAATTACCTCAGGAGTTTTTTTCCTCCTTTATGTCAGCAATTAAATTTATGAGGAAAAAAAAAGTTCACTCTCTAAAGCTAAAGAGACACAGTCAAGCTCGAAGTAAATAAAAAAGGAACGCGACCAACTTGTTAAGTATCAGGGAGGCCGTGGGCCTCAGAATCGGAAGACGTGGCTGGAGGCCCAATGCCAACGAGCGACTGGCCGGTGACCTGGAGGAGGGTCGCCCTCTCTCCCTGAGCTAGAGTGTCCCGGGAGCCAGGCTTTGCCATTTCACTGTGGGAGGGTCAGATGAGATGGAGTATGTGAAGCAGACCCCCGTGGCCAGCCCCTTCCCTCTCCCCCGCCACTTGCCCAGGGAAGCAAATGGTTGAGTAGGCTGCCTGTGTCCTGTGGGTCTTTGTTTTCCCAGAGCCTAGACCATGGAAGATGCTAGAATAGATGGAAAGGAAGGATGAGTGAATAGGCCATCAGTGAGAGTTACTGGGTTGTGATCTCACTCTTGGGTTGGGTAGCTTAGGTCCCGGGAAAAGAGCAATCTCGGTGGATGGAGACCATCCTGCTGCAGAGTTAGTCCGTGGGACAGCAGAATGGACATCACCATGGACAGATGGCCCCTCCCTGGTTCTGTGGAGTTGGGATCTGCCTTGTTAACAAGACCCCAGGGAGCCAGGCAGGTGGTGCTCCCTGTAATCCCAGTGGCTCAGGAGGCTGAGGCAGGAGGATCATTAGTTCAAGGCCAACCTTAGCAACTCAACAAGCCCCTAAGCAACTTAGCAAGACCTTGTCTCAAAATTTAAAAAAAGGACTAGGGAACTGGGCACCGTGACGCACACCTGTCATCCCAGCAACTCGGGAGGCTGAGGCAGGAGGATGGCAAGCTCAAAGCCAGCTTCCACAACTTAGTGAGGCCTAAGCAACTCAAGGAGACCCACCTTGTCTCTAATAAAATGCCCCAAAGGGCTGGGAATGTGGCTTGGTGGTTAAGCGCCCCTGGGTTCAACCCCTGATACCAAAAGAAGAAAAGTCCCAGGGAACCGCATGTGCATTAAAGTTTGAGGATAGAGCCCCTGAGGGTGTGACCAGGAGTACGAGCTGGACCGGCTGCGCTGACCCGGGCCACCTTCACCTGGCTTTGGTCTCAGGGGAAGCCCAGCATGAGAGCAAGAGCAGAGCAGGGCGAGCAGGTCTTTGCTGCTCTGGGGTGGGGAACAGGTCAGTGGGGACCCATTTCCCCTTCTGCTGACACACAGCAATGTCCTGTTAGTGGCACTCCTCCCTCCAAATCCACTGGAGACTGGGCCGCGCAGGGTGCAGAGCTCAGCAGGGTGCAGAGCGGGGCCCCTGGCCACACGGGCCTTGCAACAGCCCGGTCAGCAGCCGAGGTCCTGGGCCGTGTCCTTAGTTGCCCAGGGCGCACAGGTAGGCACGGAGAGCTGGGGTTCAAGTGCCGCGCTCTGGATTCTGCAGGGCTGCGTCTCAACAGCTGCTCTCCCCTCCCTTCCAGCTGCACTCCACCTCGGCTGCCGGGTCCCTCCTGCAGACCCTGCCACGAGAAGCGGGCACCTCCTCCCTCTGACCACTAGGAGACCCCCAACCACAGTGGTGCGCCAGCCAGAACGCAGGGGCCCCTGTGTCGCCCCAGCGCCCTCTAGTCTCCAGGGCTGTTTGCCCTGGGGCAAGATGATGAACCTCTCTGTGCCTTGGTTTCTCCTAATGCACAGCACAGATGATGAGAGCATCCACTTCTTCCGGGTTTCGTGAGCATTAAGTGAGTTAATATGTGTAAACTGCTGAGAACATGCCGGGCACCCCAGGTCTTATTACGTCTTTGTTAAATAATATCCTTCCATTGTCTTCTCATCTCGGTCACCAACACGTAAGCGCGTCCAGTAAGTGACTTTCAACTGATGGAGGGAGGGAGGGAGCCGAGTCTCAGGGGACGTCTTCCTTGGCTCTTTCTCTGTGGCCAGGGGACTGGCACGAAGACTTCAAGGATGGCAAAGTGTTTGCCCGATGACCCTGCAGCCCCTGGGTATTTCCCATCTCGTTCCCGCGCTCTCCTGGCTGCTGAGTGACAACGGGACCGGTCATTCCCTACCCTGACCCCGCGGTCCCCCAGGCTGGGCACAAACATGCCACCCAGGGAGCTCCTCCTCCTTCAGGCCAATGTCAGCGAGGCTGCCCCCTGCAGAGCCGGGGGGGCGCACCGGGGCCCCCGAAATAACAGGCCCCTGCGCCCGCGAGTAGGTCCTCGCTGGGCCGAGCAGCTGGCCTTCTGTCTGTCCGCGGCCCCTTTCCATCTTGAAGGAGAGACAGCCTGTCAAAGCGGCCCCGGGGCTGGCTGCCTGCGAGGCTTCCAAAGGGCAGAGATTTTATTTTCCTTTGCTCCTTGTGGTTTCCTGAAGAGACACTGCACCCTGTGAGCGCTGGGAGGAGGAGCGGCGGAGGGTGCGCACGGCACCCCTGCTGGAAATCAGGTCCCTGCCCAGGAGCTGCTCAGCACAGGGCAGGGTGGCGCCAGCACCTCCTGAGCCTGCGGGGCGGGCTGCCTCCTTATCAAGTGCTTCTGATAAGGGAGAGTTTGCAGAGTGTTCAGAATCTCCTAGATGGCTCATTCAAAGTCATCATGTCTTACCCACAGTGGGAACTCAATCTATTATACGCATACACACACACACACACACACACACACACACACACACACGCACACACACACACTAAATAAATGAATAAGTGTTCAATACCAATCCTTTCAATCAATTCTCTTTCATTTAAATCCTTTTTGTAGGGCCATGGGGTACTCAGTGGTAAAGCTCTTGTCTTTCATGTACAAGGCCCTTGGTTCAATCCCTAGCACTAGAAAGAAAGAAAAGGAAGAAGGAAAGAAAGCCCCTTTGTGTACATGAATATATATATATCAGTCAGGTTGAGATGAGTTATGCTGCAGTAATAAACAACCCCATATCTCTGTGGCTTGAAAAATGTTCCTCAGGGTCAGCAGCGGGAGGGAGGGTGCTCTCTCCAGGACCCAGGCATCTGGAGAATCCAGTCAGAATGTCGCCAGCAACATGGCAGAAAAGAAGAAATGCATGGAAAGAATCTTGAGCATTAAATAAGGTAATATATTATGAGTTAATATACGTGGAATATGGGTTAATAAATGTAATATATGTTACTTCTCTAACTCTTAAAGTCCCATTCCTGCCTACATTTTATTGGATAAAACCAGTCACATGCCTTAGTGCCCTTGTGAAGAACGGGTCACATTCAATGGATGGTGACATCTGATGGGCCCATTTGTCACACCGTTGTACCCGTGACTCCTCACACCTACTTCTTCTGTAGGTTTGATGATATGTTATGGATAACGTTTTTGTTGTATTTGTTTTTGAAGCCCCGTGTGATTTTAAGAATCATTATTGGAGAGGGAGCGATGAAGCCGTAGTGCCCATCAATTGCTCTAGGATTTCTCGGCCTGGAGGCATCGATAACGCTACATAGAAATACAGAAAATACCCCGTATCAAAATACCTGTTTATAGCGCTGATTTCAAAGAAGAACATGTAGCTCCTCTACCCAAGCACAGCCACCAGCCCTGAGTCCCACAGAAAAGTGTTCATTCTGCAGGAAGGATTCTAAAGCTGAGGGGGACAGGGGAGCAGCCACAGAGCACTGGAGTGGGAGGAGGGGAGGTGGGGGGCAGAATGCACAGGACCTTCACGTGCCGCAGGACGAACCGGGAGGAAGCGCATGTGTCCCCTCATGAGCTTGTTCAGAAGGAAAGCTTGGGATCTCAGAAGCAAGGTGCGGTCACACCATTAGACTGACACAGCACAGGGCCCCGGGCTCACGTAATCCAGACCAGGACCACTCCCTTAGCCGGTGCCTTGAGCAATCCGTGCCCCGTTCTCAGTGAAGAACTGGAGGCCGAGACGGTTTGGGTGTCTGCGTAATCCCTGTCTCCTCTGGAAGTGCCCAACCGTCAAACTTCTTTTGGACCCTAGGATCCTTCCTCGTGGTCACCACTGATGGTGCGGGGCAGTCATGGGATCTGAGATGAACTAGTCCGCAGTCCTGGCTGGTCCAGTTGGGTCTGTTTCTTAAGAGTCTAAAGTAAAAGCCACAGAGCAAACATGTAAGTTGCTTCATCTGACGAAGAGCTGGTCCCTCACTCGTTCATTCACTCAACTGATTTATATTGAGTGTCCATCGGGGGAGACAGGACCCATAGTCCCTACTTCACTGTCTCTGTTCCCATGTGGCCCAGGTCCTTCATCTTACATCCTGGTGGCTCAGGAGAGCAGCAGGAACGATTTGAGGCTCCTTATTCTGAAGCTCGGACTCTATTAATTGTTTTGCCATTTTAATAAATTTCTTAAAAATGTAAATGGCTCCATTTCCCCAAGTGCCGTTCTATAAAGACATCTGGCTTGAAGGCCTCTTCTGATTATTTCAATGAAGAGCGGAGAGAAGGGGGGAAAGTGGGCATTCCACTCCTCCCCCACCTCCTGACAGCTAATTTTGACCTGCAAGTTCTGCGTTTCACATAAGGAAAGGGTTCCCGGGCTCGCATCCGCCGTCCCCGTCTATCACAAAGCACAGAGCACACGCAAACACACAAGCCTTGGCAGACGCTTTGGGCGTGTGAGAAACACAGAGACAGACGCTAAATGTCACTCCTGCACAGTGCCCTGGGGTGGGTCCCCATCGCGATTGTCACAGTTTCCACCCCAGATTTTCTGGGGGAGTTCCAACTTAAAATAGCCCCTCTTGCTGTCCCCAGAGGCACCGATCTTTTGCAGATTGCAGGCCACGATTTCTGGTTTAGGAAGCGCTTTCACTTTACCAACACGTACCCTTGGATGTGCTCTGGGGGTGCCCCCGAGCTGGCTGGCCACTTCTGCAGCGAGAGGCCTTCTTGTCTGAAATTGTATGAGGATAAATTAAATAACCGAAAGGAGGAGAGACAGGCAAAGGGAAGAAGAGAAAGGTTAGGCGAGGGCACCCCACCTCATTTTAATGATCTCCGAATTCCTAGGAATAGTCACTCCGCGGTGACTGCCCCATATAATGGTTCCCTAAAGACTCTGAAATTGCCACCTGATTAATGCCTCATATTTGCAGCCAGACACACCGCTGAAAAGACATTCAGTTAATGGTGTTCACGGTGGCTGGAATCATTAGGTAGTGCAGCATGATGTGTCCTCAGAGCTTCTCGGGGCTTGGTACATAATAGATGCTAATTTAAGGGATGGAAAGTATAGAATCCGATCTTTGAGTTGATAAGGCCAATCCCAAGGACGAGCACATTCTTCTCTTACCTTTCTCTGCTCAAGTGTGGTCAGCCTTGGTTTGGCTGCTGCTTATCTAGGGTGCTTGGCCAACTCTGCAGCAGGAGGGCTGTCGTGAATCTTCCTATCAATGATTTCTCTGAGATCAGGCCATGTGCCTCCGCCCAGCGGCCCTGGGCAGACTCCAGTCGAGCGTCTTTTGAAAGCCTCTCAGGTCTAGATTGGAAATGTGCAGCTGCATCCATCCAGGTTCACGGTCACAGGCAAGCAGAGCCCACGCTAAACCTGTCACAGGGAGCAACCAGAGACCCACTCAGAGGTTTCAACCTAAGGAAAGGCTGTTCATTTCTCTTTGCTCCCTCCTGGGCTCTGGGCTTCCTTCCCAGTTGCTAAAGGTCAGGCCCAGTCTTGTCTTTTGTTCAGTAACTGGGAAGTCCTGTAGGGGATCTAGCCTCCGTTGGTTGTGCTGTAGATTGTATTTTTGTGTCTCCTTTTTGACTCTTTGTTTTTTTTAAAGAATAAGACGACGGCTTTAGACCTTCTTTTTAGAGTGACTAACATCTTGATTTGCTTGGGCTTTCCCAGTTTTACCACTGAAAGTGACACACAGTGGACCCCTGGGGCCCAGGGAAACCAGGTGCTGGGCCTCCCCTTCCTCCTTCCCCTGCCTCCTTCCTCTCAGTTTTAATCCTTTCCACCTGCTCTGTCCCTCACGCCCCACCCCGAGGTGGCTGAGGCCCCTCCCAGGGGTGGGTGCTTCCTTGCTCGAGGTAGGCAGGGGCTGGACCCGTCCCTGGCCTCTCTCAGCCCTCTTAGGTCTCCGGGGGCTACTGGCCGTGGCTCTTTGGGGTCCTGAGTTTAATAGAAAGAAGTTCAAGGTGATGGTGGCTGAAGCTGCGTTCCGGGGACAGAGACCCGCTAGTCAGACCTGTGTGGCCTCCGGTGCTGCGTGAGAGGACAGGTCCTGCCAAGACACGCGTGGTGACTTCTCCAGGGCTTTCTTCCCTGGAGTCCCCCCTCCACCCACCGCCATCACTGAAAAGCAGGCGGGAGCACTGAGCCCCTGTCCCTGCGTCCACTGCCTCTCCTGTGCTAGGTCGGCTCACCAGCCTGAGGGTACACGTGTCCCAGGAGCGTCACATTATCTCAGCTTTAAGATAAGATCATTCCCAACAAGGGGCTCAGGCAGTCTCCCCAGGCGACCTCAGTACAGTGTCACCCAAACCTCCACCATACCCACACATGCCACCATCAGTCACCCGTGACATTTCTGCAATCCGTAGCTATTAGGATTAAACAAATCGACTTGTTTGATTTTTTTAAAAAATACATTTGTTTTCAAAGAAAGCTTTGTGCAACATCTGTGCTTCATTTTGATAAAAATGTTGTTATTTTTTTCAAGAAAGGGAACTTCTTTTCAAGACTCCAAATGTCACATCTGTGTCACCTGCCATTAATACGAGAGTGGAAATCAACATCGTGCTGTTTTCCACTTGTACACATCCTAACTGAATGGAATGAATCTTTAGAAGAAGCGTTTTCTCTCCCTGTCTTTGGATGCCCAGGGGTTCTGCTCCATTCCAAGCCCAGATGCATACACGAGAAATAGAAATACATATGACACATCTCCGTAGCTCTCGCCATGTGTCCTGTGTCACTGGAATGGTTTTAAAATACGATATAGTTGATTCTTTTTAGCAATCTTTCAGGGTGAAGTGGGCTGTTGTTCTCCCCATTCTACAGAGGAGAACACTGAGACCCAGCACAGGCAGTGACTGCACAGACCTCACAGCTCACAGGTGGCAGAGCTAGAATTTAGTCCTGTGCCTCTGGGGAGCAAAAATATATGCTTATCCCAACTGGAGCCCAGATTGTGGCTTAGGAGAACCACTCACCACCCAAAGGAACCATGTTTCTTGGAGAAATGGTTGATTCCAGGTCTGGGGCAGCTCCATAAAGCAAGGAAAAGAGTCCTGAATCCAGCCTCATGGGACTCGTAGTAGATAAATCTAGGAAGATTTTAGCATGAGAAAATGACAATTTGATTGCAATACTTTGACTAAAATTCCATGAACCCATAGGGA